CTGCCTCCACCGCCACACTGTGGCTCCACACTCTGGTTTTGGCCCCGTGACTGCCCAAATGAGTGAAGTGTGCGGTGATTCTAAGATCGACGGCACTCATCTGCATGTCATACTGACTGACAGTATTATTTCTCTTCCCCAGCAGACTCCAAGGGCATTTAAATTAAAGGTACAGTGTTCTGCACTAATATAAAGGCTCTCTGAAGCCTAGAAACACCCTTTTTATAAGTTAAATTCGCAGCGAATATATTCGGCACGAAGCAAATTTAATCGGCGAATTCGGCAAATCAGCCCGAACCGAATTTTTGAATAATTCGCTCATCTCTAGTTATTATCATCATTTTTAATTACCAAACGACAGTTTATAACGGGGAAAAGGCACTGCAAATGTGAACCAAGAGCTTGACTCATGGTTATGCCATGGCCCTATTTACTGAATGGCCAAATTGGGCAGGTGTGAAAGAGGCCTTAGACCACATGGGGTTTATTTACTAAAGCTGGAGAGTCCAAAATCAGACTCCCTTCTGCATAGAAACCAATCAGCTTCTAACTTCAGCTTGTTCAATGAAGCTTTGACAATGAAACCTGGAAGCTGATTGGTTTCTATGCAGAAGGGAGTCTGATTTTGGACTCTCCAGCTTTAGTAAATAAACCCCCATATGTCAAACATAAGGCCTTCAGGCTGAATTAAGCCCACCAGGCCATTTCATGTGGCCATCCCACCTCTCCTGCAGCCACGGCACCCCCCTTAATCTCCACCCCATCTTGTCTCAGCAGTCAGCAGCAGAGAAGAGGACAGAACTCCTCTGTCAGATCCTGCGCTTCTCCATGCGTCTGTGGAGGGGCTTGTTTTTGCCCTTTCCCCCATCTTAGCAGTTGGCAGCAGAGAGGAGGACAGAATTCCTCCTACAGATCTTGCTCCTCTCTGTACAGCCGCAGGACTGCCTTGCTCTGCATCCCCTGGTCTCACCATTCAACAGACTCTGGCGGCTGACTCCAGCCCACAGTCCTCGGGTCCTCCTCCAGACCCTGCACTTTCTACTGCCCAGCTCCACCACAACAATTCTTCCCAGCAGCAACACAAATATTTTAGGCAACAGACAGCATGGATTCATGAAAGACAGAAGTTGTCAAATCTGATTTCTTTTTATGGGGAGGTGAGCAAAACCTTGGACATAGCAGTGGCGGTGGACGTGGTATACTTGGATTTTCTAAAAGCGTTTGACACAGTTCCCCACACAGGGCTAATGTGTAAGGTAAAGTCTACAACCTCACATACATAGGGGGTACAACTGGATAAATCCGTATGTAAATGGATAGAAAACTGGCTAAAAGATTGTATTCAGAGAGTAATGGTTAATGATTCATACTCTGACTCTGAATGGTCTAGGGTTGTCAGTGGTGTACCCAGCAAGGTTCAGTGTTGGGGTGTGGTTACAAACATGGTGAAGGCAAGAGAATGGTCCTTATTTTTTAATATCTTTATAAACAATATAGGGTCTGGGATTAAAAAAATCCTGTTTCAGTCTTTGCAGATGACACCAAGCTGTGCAGTGGAAAAAATGTCCTTACAGGATGTCTCCAATTTACAAGCCGACCTCAATGCACTGTGTAATTAGGCAACTATGTGGCAAATGAGGTTTAATGTTGATAAATGTAAACTGTTATGCACTTGGGGGCTAAGAATATGCATGCATCATACATACTAGGGGGGGTACAACTGGGGGAATCAATGGTGGAGAAGGATCTGGGTTTTATGGAAGATCACAATGCCAAGCCCGCGGGTTTCTAAAGCGAGCAAAATCCTCTCTTGTATTAAAAGAGATATAGAACCCGGCGATGCCTACTGGTGACAATTCATGCTTTGGGGCCTGTTTTGCTACTGCAGGAAAATGATCCCAGATATAGACTCCAGAGAGAGATATCATATTACCCCGGTACAAATCATTAGTAAGACCTCATCTGGAATATGCAGTTCAGTTTTGGGCACCAATTCACAAAAAGAACATTGGGGAACTGGAGAAAGTACAGAGAAGGGCAACCAAAAACTGATAAGAAGCATGGAGGAGCTCAGCTATATGAGGAGAGATTAGAGGAACTGAATTTATTCTCTTGAGAAGAGGAGGTTAAGAGGGGATATGATGAACATGTATAATACATAAGGGGGGATTTGATCACCACATATAATACATTAGGGGGGATATGATCTCCATGTATAAATACATCAGTGGTTCATATAGTGACCTCGATGTAGAGCTATTCACCCTGAGGTCATTACAGAGGACAAGGGAGCACTCTTTACGTCTGGAGGAAAATAAATTTCATCTCCAAACATGGAAAGGTTTCTTCACAGTGAGAGCTGTGAGAATGTGGAATAGACTCCCTCAAGAGTTGGTTCTGGCCAGCTCAGTGGATTGCTTTAAAAAAGGCCTGGATTGTTTCCTAGATACACAGAATATAACTGGATACTAACATTTATAGGTAAAGTTAATCCAGTGAATATCAAATTGCCTCCCGTGGATCAGAAAGGAATTTTTTTCCCCAGCAGGAGCAAATTGGATCATGCTTTGCTGGTGTTTTTTGCCTTCCTCTGGATCAATGGTGGGTGTAGGATTATAATTTTTTTTTAAATTATTTTTATGGTTGAACTGAATGGACTTTTGTCTTTTTTCAGCCAGACTAAGTATGTAACTATGTAACAAGGTAAAGGGGGTGCACATTGATGTAAGGGAGGATGGGGGACTCTTGACTTCTGATGTAAGAGGGGGTGATGTGCTCTGGACTACAGACACAACAGCCCTTTAAAGGGGCAACCATAATGCTAATGCAGCTCACCATGAAATTGAGTTTGACACCCCTGCTTTAGACTCTCCAAATATATAACATAGCAGACGAAATGAGCAGTCTCAAAATCAAATGTGCCACACGTGTGATTCTGCAATCTCTGTATCATCAGATCATAATATATGAGCATCTACAGACGAGCAAATGTTGAATTTGAAGCCACTCATTTTCCAGTTCCATATACATTTCTATCTAGTCCAGTTGAACAGTGTGGACAGTTGTAAGCAGCACACATGCACATTTTCTATACCTGGCAGCATCTTTTTATTATATACTTGTACCATAAAGTGTATTTTTTAAATAAAATATCTTATAGTGAACATTGCTACTGTTTATGGAATGTTCTTTGCCACATAAAGTGATATTAAATATATATTTTTTTTAGAAAAGAGTTAATAGAACGATATTGCACAGAAAGTTCATGTTGTCAGCTTCTCCCTCCTTTAGGTGCCTTCTATGGCAAGCCAGGTGCTAAGGAGGCACCAGTGCGTGTGCGTTCCCGAGCCGGCAAATTTACCCTTGGGGACATGACAGATGGAGAGATAAATGCCCAAACTTGATCAAACCAGAAACTTCCATCATATTCATGCAATTTACCCAGCAGATTGAAATGGTGAATAGACAGTTCAGTACCACCTTCCCCTTCTTGGGGGGGGGGAAGGATCAAGAAGGTTGATTGGATAGTTTCCAACAAGTTATAAAACCTCTGTTGGCACAAATAACTGCTTCTGGCATTTTTTTGATCCCTAGAGTAATTTAATAAAAGTTGCATATCTTGGTAATTCCAGACATTACCATTGCTGTTAAATTAAATAAAACATAATTCAGCTTTATACCACAAAGTTCTTTTCTTGCAATAATGAAAGAATGATGTTTCTTTTCCCCACAGTGCTATTTTTACTAAAGTCGTTTGAAGAGCAGCAGCTGTTTCGACATTCAAAGGAAAAACAAAATCTCAACTTTATTGTTGTTTTAATGGAGAATTAAACTATTTCTACATGCAATGGGACATACATTAGGTTTAGGTTCACACCTAAGCGTTTTGCTGTGCGTTTTGCATGATTTCTATGGGACACGTTCACATCTCTGCATTTCCACCCTGTGTATTTTTTGGAAAAGGTCACTGACTTTTTTAAAACACAAAACGTTGTGTTTTGGTTCAATAGACCTCAATGAAGACACTGCAGAAATGCATGTAGTGTATCCAGGGGCGGACTGACCATTTGGAAACGCGGGCACTGCCCGAGGGCCCCGGGTCAGTAGGGGGCCCCATGAGATGCCCCTGGTACCTTTTTCATAGGCTTTTTTGAGTTTGGGCAAGGACACAGGGGCCCCATGATCCCCTATTGTCCGGGGGCCCCATGAGTTGTCAGTCTGCCCCTGAGTGTATCTTTATGTGTTTTTGACACATTTTTTATGTGTTTTTGATGTGTTTTTTGCTTTTAATCTGTCCAGAAACAAGTTGGCAAAAAACCCACAAAACGCATGTGCAAAAACTCAAAACGCACTGCAAAAAACACTGCAGAAATGGATCAATGTAAACTGCATACGTGTGAACCTAGCCTAAAAGGACACCAGTCCTAATAAATACAAGGGGTGAAAATGCTAGTTATTTGGCTGTCTCTAACCTTTGTGGGACATTGATCCAGAAGAAATATGGCAGGTAATACAATCCATAAATTAGGATCATCAGTCGTTTGTCTGCATGCCATTTCCTGTTCAGGACTTTGGACAAATACAATACCCAGGGAACTAGCATTTTCAGAAGGAGAGGTTAGTAATGGCAGCTGTAATTATATGTGATGAAGTCTCATAGTAAAATGAATAAAGATGAACTCCAGGAATTACATTTTTGCACTTACACTGAGCCAGCTTGGCTTGATTTAAATATGCATAACTGATATTCAGTGGGCCCCTGGGGATGCTTTAAAGTATTACTAAACCCAGAGAGCATTGCCATAGCATGTACTATAGGATCCCAAGGTTTTCTTTAGTAGTCGCTTTAAAGTGTTACTAAACCCACAACAGTAAAATCAGTCTGTAAATGCAGTAAAGCATGCTTGCTATACTCACTGTGGAATCTGAGGGGTTAATTCTACATTGTGTAAAAAGGCTGTTTGATCCTCTCTTCTCTGATCCTCCCCTTCTTCCATTATCTCCTAAATATCTCCTGATAGAATAGAGGTTTGAAATTACTCTGCACATGCTCAGTTTGATGTGTATTGCTAGAGAGGTTTTCTTTTCTTGGGAGGATGCATGTGATCAGCACAGGGCCAATCAGCACTGTCCAGACAGAGGTCAGGGGTCTTGCATCCTCCTATAGGAGAATGAAAACTCCTCCTACAAGCTTTAACCAGTGCTCTGCTGGTCACTGATAGAAGTCACAAAACTGCTCTAACTGCTGATGAGAAAAGGTATTTAGCAGTTTATATTTACTAAAATAATTGCATTTCCATGTTGTGTTTACTGTGGGAGACCAGATATAGCGTATTCAGGGTCCTGGGTTTAGTAACACTTTAAAGCACTGTAATAGTCTGCGCTTCATACAGTGAGAGCTGCGATCTTCCAGGTTCTGTGTAAGTGCCGGTACACATATATGCAAATTGGATGCGGTTTTAACTGCATCCAATCCACATGACATGTGAAATAACATTGCTTTCTATAGTGCCTGTTCACATATGTCTGGTGCACTAGTGTTGCGGATTCAGTGCAGATTTAAAAAGAGTCATGTTCAATTAATGAGCAGTGCGGTCCAGTTCAGGTGCGGATTACAGGCTGCTGACTTCTATTGGAACCGTTTCTAAACTGCATATGTGTGAAGAGGATAAAATCCTGACCTAATCCTGTCCTGAACCTGATGTAAACCTGACATGAACCGCTGAACAACTACCTTGGCAATTAACTGTGAAACCTGAGCTTCAATCCGCACCGCACATGTGTGAATCAGCTCCAAGTCCTCTGCACACTGAACACATGAGGCTGCTTACTCGACATTTCCACCATTCATAAAAATGCCTTGTGTTTTTTTCAATGAATACATAAGGTTCTCTATTTGGACAGGGTAGAGATCTTAATGTCCCTACCCCGCCTCTCCATGTCATCCAATCAGAAACAGCCTTCTATTCATTGAACAAAATGCAAGGCAGAGGTGCTAAGCAAACGACCCCCTGTGTTCTGTGGCCACTTGGCACAGGACCCAGAAATCGCAGCTCACTTGCCAGCTACTACAGTGATTTAAAGCAGCTCCACCGGCCCTCTGGGTATCATATATGGAGACTTGCAGTATATTGAGCCAAGTTGCATCAAGTTAAGTATTAAAAAAAAAAAAATAATTCCTGGAGTTCAGCTTTAAAATTCAGTTTAAATCAGCTTAATTCAAAGTTAGAGCATCAAAAAAGGTATACAGTCTTACAGGTTGTTTTTTGCAGCCACAACCTAAGTAGAAAAGCCTCTGCCAGCATTCTGGGATGCCTGCTCCATGTGGAAAACAGTGGTCTCTCTGCAGATGTCTGACATGTCCCCGGCTGTGTCAGAGCTAGACCTCAAAAGTCAACAATTAATGTTAATTATTGTTAAAATTATTTTTATGTTCACTTTTGATGTGACTCTTATTTTAATATGCTTGGTTTTTTTATATTTTTGCATTGAACTTAGAGATGAGCACAACGGAAAAATTAGTTTTGTTTCCTTTCTGAGTCAATCCTTAAGTTAATCATTTTGTTTCATCATATTCACTATGTTAGTGATTTGTTTTCGGAGTTCGTTTTGTATATTTGGATTTGTTTTGTATATTCGTTGTTCCAAATCGATTCGTATTTTAGAAGATATTTCGGAAGATTGGCTCTATTTGTTTTAATGTGTTAATTCCTTATTTTGGGAGATTACTCGAGCACTCTGAGTCATCCCACAGAGAGAAATGGAATGAGCTTATTGGACAATATCGACTAGAGTCGCATGCATCCAAAAGAACAAATGGAACGAAAATAATTTCGGATATATTCATTATATTATGATTCGGAAATTCTGATGGATCCACCTCCATCCAAGCCAATCAGAATAAGTAGGAATCATCATACTATTTCACTTTTATACCTTACTGTGTTTATTGCAATATGTTTCCATTTCATATGTAGTGCATTTTTTATAATAATAAAAAATGTTAATGAAAAATAAAAATGAAATCAATTTGGATTGATTACTTCGGATGTTTAAAAAATTAATAAAAGGCCTAAACTATCACATCATGTCATCTTAATGAAACAAATGAATGTGAATGAATACGTTGTTTCATTATAATTTATTTCAGATTCTTTGTAATTTGTTACTTTTGTGATTCAGAGCTTCAGATACATCCAAATCTCCAAATAACAAAAATTTTGTCCGAATTTTGGTTCGTAATGAAACTAACTTAGCAGTATCACTCTGCTTTCTGTATAACAACTCTTTGGGTGAGATAGCCACACTGGAAGTGCAGTTTTTGGAGGGAAGCAAGAAAGTATAACCCCCTCCCTATTACCTATCGGGTTGTCTCTTGTTGTTTCCCAAGCTCTACTCCTTAGAAATCGTACTTTTCAGAGAAGTCTTGTTAGCTGATTGGTGCTGACACACGCACCTATGCACAGCTCTTTCTTAGGGTCATGGCTGGCAAGCATTGCTGTGTAGGACGGTGCACATTCACATCCACTGGCCTACTTATAAGCATGTGTCCGGGCTTGACTGTGGTCTTAGCACGAGAATCAGATTACAGCAGAAAGGGAAAAGGCCTAAAAAAAAGAAAACTAATGCAGCCGACACATCTAATGATTGGTAAGCTGCAATATATTACATTTTTGGTTTTGGGTTTAATACCACTTTAAAGCGGTTCTTCAGTTTGGAAAAAAAATATTAATAGTCAGCAGCTACTAATACTGTAGCTGCTGACTTTTATTAAAAGAACATTTATCTTTCCAGGTATCCAGAGCTGTCCTCACCCAGGCTAGTTCTTCACTAGTCTTCGGGTCCCCAGAGCCAGCATTTTTACTAAGGGAAGCAGTGCTGTATATAGGGAGGTGCTGGGGTGGGGTGTGGGCCTCCCCCAGTTTTTAATTGTGCCCCCCCCCCAGGTCTCTGAGAGTGCATCCACTGATCCAAGAGCCAGCCTGATGAAGATAGTTGATGTAAAGGACCACTGTCATGGGGACAATCTGTGTAAGGGGGTACTCTGATGGGGACACTTGATGTAAGGAAGCACTCTGATGGGAACACTTGATGTAAGGAGGCACTCTGATGGGGACACTGATGTAAGGGAGCACTGTGATGGGGACACTGATGTAAGGGGGCACTCTGATGGGGACACTGATGTAAGGGAGCACTGTGATGGGGACACTGATGTAAGGGGGCACTCTGATGGGGACTCTGATGTAAGGGGGCACTCTGATGGGGACTCTGATGTAAGGGGGCACTGAGATGGGGACACTTGATGTAAGGAGGCATTCTGATGAGGACACTGATGTAAGGGGGTACTCTGATGGAGACACTGATGTAAGGGGGTACTCTGATGGGGCCACCTTATGTAAGGAGGCACTCTGATGGGGACACTGATGTAAGGGGGCACTCTGATGGGGCCACCTTATGTAAGTGTAAGGAGGCACTCTGATGGGGACACTGATGTAAGGGGGCACTCTGATGGGGCTACTTTATGTAAGGAGGCACTCTGATGGGGACACTGATGTAAGTGGGGTACTCTGATGGAGACACTGATGTAAGGGGGCACTCTGATGGGGCCACCTTATGTAAGGAGGCACTCTGATGGGGACACTGATGTAAGGGGGCACTCTAACAGGGCCACCTTATGTAAGTGTAGGGATGCACTCTGATGGGGGCACTCTGATGGGAACCTCATATAAAAGGGGAATCTGCTGAGTAGTTATTATGTAAATAAGGACTCTGATGAGGACTCCTAATGTAAAGGGGGACTGTGCTAGGGACATCTGGTCTGTTCTGTTTACCCTTATATAATGTCAACTTAATGCATAATAGTGTTTCGCAGGTTGTGACATTGTGTCACATTCACACACAGTGTTGACATTATGTCCTCTGACTTATTTTTACTGCACCCCCAGATCAAATAGGCTAGATCCGGCTCTGAGGGGAAGCTTTCTGTGACTCCTTGTGACTTTACAGCCAGCTTCCCACTGCATTTTATGAATGGGCTTGCACTTGTGATGTGTCCCAAGAGGCTGTGGGCAGGGAGGGAGGAGAGCGAACTTCTACTATTGCCTGGGTGATCTGAGCGGAGGTGCAAGTGGGTACCTGTCAAAACCATGTACCCTCTCCCCCCAAACAGATATAACATGCAAAAGTAGAAGGGGGAGGCAGAAAAAAAGTAGAACTTCCACTTTTGGGGCAAGTTCCGCTTTAAGTTTGAGAGAGTCTAGCTAAAGATTGAACTTATTTGGTAGCAAACAAGAGGAGAAAACTGGAAGATACTAAATGCCGAGAACGTCAAATAGTAATTGGCTGCTGGGCAGCACAACCTGTCTGGTGAAAAAAAATTGTGCCAAAAGAATGTCATGGCTGTATTGTAATGTACTATTTTGTAATGCAAATTGTCTCTTGACAGACTGTGCGGCTATCAAAAGAAAATGTTCTACTTTTGTCAATGTGCTCAGTAATTTTCTTTTCAGAAACCTGTACTTGCATTACAAATGAAGTGAATCTAAACTTGTCGCAGTGACACGGCCAGATTCATTTTGAACCTGGGTTTAGCTTGCTCATAACTAATAAGGCAATTTCCAAATGTTATGTTATTGCCCAGCTTACTGTATCAAATTTGAGAAATAAAAATTGGAGTTACACTTTAAATGACATAACAGTAACAGGGTAACCATAGATTCAGCCATGATTAATTACCAGTGTCTTCCAGAAGGAAGGAATTAAGGCCCTAGCATGCCTTGGCTCAAAACGCGTAATTACACTCCAGCCTGCGTCTCGCACACCTGTTCCAGCAGCCAGTTGTCACATGTGCTCTCCTCCAGCAGAACAGCGGGACTCTCTCATGTTCGAGAGCTCTAAAGGATTCCATCTTGCAGCTGACACCTCCTATATGTCATTGGCCGCTTACTGTCAGAAGAGACTAAAAGGAAAAAATGTGAGATTTACACTCCAAGCATGAAAGAATTCATCTGAAATGCTGCTTAGAAAATTGATAGCATTAAAGGGCAACTCCAGCAGTGCAGTGTAAACCCAGTTGAAATGAATACGGTATACAAAATAAAAAAGTTAAAGTGGATCTAATGCCAACCACTCTGATATCATAAAAAAATGTTAAAGAGGAACTACATTCATATAAAAAAAAATTAAAAGTCAGCAGCTACAAACATAGCTGC